TCTCCTGTATAGCCATATAGCCAAGAAGGCTAATGAAAGATAAAGATCTGTTATGAGTTTTGCTAAGTCTCACAGAATACAGAGAATAAAGAAATTCTGTAGATTTAATTTATTTTATCCCCTTGATACCCCTGGCTTCTCAAAATGGTACCAGGCCCCTTTGTTGTTGATGTTATCTGACTTAATTTTTCCATTAGGATCAAATTGTTATCAAGAGCCAGAAGTGTAGGTACAAAATGAGGTAAAATGTCTAAAGGTAAAATAATGCAAGTTAAGGCTCAGTTGGAAAAGCCAAGAAAAGTACTTAGATGCTTTGTTTTATTCAGGAGACTGTGCTAGCAATCCCTGACAGAAATGAACCAGTCAGGAAATCTCAGCCAAAGCCAAATATTTCTCTAGAATTCAGTCTTCTCACTTGAGCGTAGCTGTGTCATGCAACCTAATAATAAAGTCCAGAAACCATATTTTTCATAACTTTATGATAATACACAGACATGTTCAATGCTATAATGACTGCATTAATAGAAACCAAAGCATAGCACTGTGTCTCTGAATATAACAGAGGCAATGAAAACTTGCAGCCTGGACAACTGTTCTTAACTTTAAGTAGCAACAGAATTCAATAGCGGAGGAAGAGGTGATCAGAGCTTAGGAAACCTCCTCTCATGGTTGCTTAGGCATTCATTTTTCCAGCTCTTCATTTTTCCTTAATTTCCCTTTTTAAGCCACAGAAGCACTAAAGAAAGTTTGGGAAATAATTAAAGATCATCACCCATATCCCTGCCACCTTAAAGCAATTACCACTTGTAATATTCTCATGTAGTCTTATTTTTTCATATATATAAAACCCCACTTTTTATATCAATAGGAATGTATTACATGCACCTTGCTTTTTTTCACCTAAAATGTTTCTTAGAGAGAATTTAATATTGGCATGTAGAGCTGTCTCATTCTTTCTAACAGCTACATATTTGTTTGGTGTATGGATGTAGCATAATTTATTTACCCAATTCCTACAGAATAAAAGGAATTGGGTACATTTTGCTATGACAAATAACACTGCAACAAGCATTCTAGTACCTAAATCTTTATGCAGATATGCAAGATACTGGTGGGATAAAATCCTAGGAGTGGATCTTTCGCTTGAAGTTTTATGTAATTAAAGTCACTGAATAGACACATAGTGTCTATTCAGTTTTGCATCCTGGATATCTCATAATGGATATTACACACAGTGAACATTTTCCATGTTGTTGTATAGCCTCCAAGATTAAAGTTTTAATGGTTTGTTATTTCTTATTAAGCGGATACCCTCAACCTTCCCTCTATTGTTAGACAGTTCAACTGTTTCTAATTATGTGCCTCATAAAGAATGCAATGACTCTCCATATCCCCTGTGTCTTACCCTTGGCCCACTTGCACTCTCTTCTCACTGTATTTTTCTTCACAGGGAGAGGAACCTCCATTCTAGAACATGGGTGAGGCACCCCCATTCTAGAACATGCTCCAGGTCCCCATGACTCTGGAATTCCCAAATTGATCCCAAGTCCAGTTTCTAGGCCCATGTATCCCTCTTCCCTGTGTGCCAGGGGTGGCTGTTTGGGGAGATGCAGAGGATGTGGAGCTAGGGGTGCCAGCTGGGTCTCCACTTGCATGAACACAAGGCCTATGTCCAGTAGGACATAAACTAGGAGTGTCAGGAGAAGCAGGGAGCAGTCCCTGGACCTCCATTTATACTAGTTTACCCAGGCCCCCTAAATGTTGGAAAGGTTCTGCTGTAACACCCTTACCTTCTTTTCCCAGATTCAATAGAGTTCTCTAAAGCAGACTACTGAATTAAAAGTAAAATGGACCAACTAACCAACAACAACAACAACAACAAAACCCAAAACTTCATTTTCCAAAGTTATTTGTAAACTTACCTCTTTTGCACACCTGTCATATATTGCCAAAAATTATCATTTGCCAAATTTAAAGTCCTGTGCCATGAGAGATGATTTGAAATTGCATAAGGGACAGTGGCAAGAGGAGCAGTTGACTTCACTTCTGATCTGTACTATCAAAATCCTGCTATAGGGACAGGCAGAGTGGCTCACACCTGTAATCTCAGCCCTTTGGGATGCCAAGGTGGGCGGATCACCTGAGGTCAGGAGTTCGAGACCAGCCTGGACAACATGGTGAAACCCCATCTCTACTAAAAATATAAAACTTCACTGAGCATGGTGGTGCACACCTGTTGTCCCAACTACTAGGGAGGCTGAGGCACAAGAATGGCTTCAATCCGGGAGGCAGAGGTTGCAGTGCCAAGATCACAACACTGCACTCCAGCCTGGGCTATAGAGCAAGACCCTATCTCAAAAACAAACAAACAAACCACCTTGCTCTATGAATTAGAGATCACTTTTCATGCCTGCATTTTGTTTCTTTCTTTCTTTTTTTTTTTTTTGGAGGTTTTATTAGATGAATTCCAATGTCCTTTTTAATTTTTAATTTCTATGATTCTACATAACCAATTCAAATTTAAATTTTAAAATGCATTACTTTTTGTTCAAGCTCCTGGAGACTTTTACTGATCTCCTATTTTGTATACAAATGTTTGGGTGTTTGTTCTTCGCTTTTCATAGTTCATTCGAACTTGAGTTCCTCTTAAGTGAAGAACATTAAGGGGAAGAGAACAAAGAAATAATGAATGGCTTCTCTCTCAAAATACTTACAATGAGGCTCACCTTAAAAATGAGGCTCACAACCTGACACTTAGCTTTTCTACACCTAGGCAAACAGGGGGCAATGTACATCTAGTGCTAATTAAATTAAATATCCAAATACTGGGTTTTCAACAAACACAAACAAATTCAGAAGCATGAACTATACTACTTTACTTGGAATATCAATGACAGCCTGAGTAACAAAAGAATAAACCTGGATAAGAAAAATGCTCTGCTTACGGACTTTCCCTGGTAATATGCTGATTACTATCGCAGTTGATGCTGATTGGTGGGGTTTTCATCCCTAGGAAAGGAATATGTATTTCCATCCCAGGATTCAGACTTTTACTAATGACTACAATTAAAGCCACTGTTCAATTAAGGGCTTGAACAGTAGACGGTAACTACATAGTATAACTATTGGCCAATTTGGAGAATTTGGAACATAATCAATGAAACAATATCAATATTTACCATCCTAATTGTAAGTGACCTCCAAAAAACAACATGATGTTACATAATCTTTACATAATCCCTTTTTACTCTTGAAAAATTAAGAGAAATTCTTAGATTATGATTTCTGTAAATTGTTAGCGGAAACATGATTTTCTCTGAATCTTGCTGCTTGGTACAGATCATAACCCTAAGGAAAAAAGGAGCCTCCAGTGTTGTCTTTCTCTGGTGGGAAGTTAAATAAGACAGTGCTCAGGAAGGGACCATCGTAGGCATAGACATTTGTTCTCCCAACACAGAACTAGACTGAGATCTCCTCACATGCTTCTATCTATGGAATCTAGAATGAAAAAGAATTTTAAAAACAAGTCGAACTCAAGAATGTTTTTAAAAATTCTACTTCGTGGATTTTTACAGTCAATACAAAATAGTCTTATGGTTCTTTCAGCATATATACTTAAATTCAGCCTATTAAAATAGAACTATATGAATTAGACTTATTAACCAAAATTAAGAGTACATGGTGCTAAAACAATTGGTTGATTCAGTGGCAGTATTTATAAGTATACTATAAATAATTCCCAAACTGGCGATCATCTTTAGAAACTTTAAATTTTTAATGTTGCTCAAGTCTGACTCTAAGCTTTTGAGTTTTCCATCTTAAGAAGCTCCCCTCCCTTACTCCTACATTGCAGCCCACTACATTACAGAAATATTCTCATACAGCTTTATTTGTTACATTTATATCTTTATTGCATCCCACTTATCTGTATTTGAACAAGCATTGCAAAAAGATACACAGCAAACTGTTAGCTTTGGTTATCTAGACTTTGCCTTTACACTGTATAACTGGATCCATTATTATATATATATTGCTTAATAAAGAAAGAAAACAGGCAAGGTGCAGTGGCTCACGCCTGTAATCCCAGCACTTTGGGAGGCAGAAGCGAGAAGATCGCTTGAGCGCAGGAGTTCTAGACCAGCCTGGACAACATGGCGAAACCCCATCTCTACAAAAAATACAAAAAATAGCCGGGTGTGGTGGCGTACACCTGTAGTACCAGCTACTAAGGAGGCTGAGGTGGGAGGTTCACTTGAGCCCAAGAGGCGGAGATTGCAGTGAACTGTGATTGTGCCACTGCACTCTAGCCTGGGCAACAAAGAGAGACCCTGTCTTAAAAAAAAAAAAAAAAAAAAAAAAAGCAAGCAAGAAATGAGAAGAAAATAAAGAAAAAGAAAAAAATAACAAAAACAAAGAATACTGTCTAGCTTTAAAAAACCATAAATGTGAACATTACCATGTTCACTGCCAAAATGAGAAAAAGAATAGCATAAAACAATTCATTGGGGAATATTCAAATGTAAAAGCCAAATATTAATCCAGGTTCTAAATAACCAGTCCTTGTAAACTATAGAATAGTAACTTTTTTTTCCTTTTCCCTCAAATGATTTGACCAAATGGAACAATAAATAAACCCATGCCAGATAAAATTAAACTGTGGTTCACCTAAAGATCAAGCTTAGGCTAATTAGTAAAAGGGGCCAGACCAGACGGTGATAACCAGCCCAACAGAAAGAGAAGCACATGATTAAGCAGGCAGATGGCCACTTGCAATTTAATGAGCAGACACTTTTTGATTTGGTTTGATGGCCCAACTAGGGAAGGTCTTTATCTTAAGCTTTTCCCTTGAGAGTCCTGTATGGCTGGACTCCAGTGATTTGTTCAGGTTTGAGCCCTTTTCCTCCCAGAAACGGCTTCCACAATTCATATAAAGCTTAATGTCTATATCAAACAAGCACAGATCAGGGCGCCACACTCCTTTAGATGGCATGCTAACTTACTCTTTACTTCCGGCTTCTGGAAAAAGCAGAGTGGAAGGAAAAATAAAATGCTTTTTCATCTTCCAGCGATCCTGTTTAAAAAAAAAAAAAAAGATTAAACAAAACTATATCTTACTTAAATCATTTCAAGACCCACCTTAAGTCAATGTTAGCAAAAATTTGTCGAGAGCCATATGAAGGTAGAATCAGCCCGCAGGACAAGGCCCAAGGATAGAAATGGATGAACTCAGGAGAGAGAAACAAGGTACAGATTTAAGAAGGGGCCAAAAACATGTCTTCATATTTCTCAATTTTGTTTAAAATGAGCACATCCTGTACCATTTATGATCAGCTCCAAAAGCTCTTCCCCGGAGCGAACTGTCCATACAAATGAAAAAGTGCCTGTTTATTAAATTGCAAGTGGCTATCATATATATTAGAAAGAAATACCAAACAAAATCATAGATATTTCTGACAAGATATAAGCAGAATATATACACCTTTAAGTATTTTCTCTTTCACGTAAACATTTATAAAAACCAGGTGAAGAAACGAATGTGCAGAAAAGGGATTATGGCTCAGTCCAGCTAAGAGTTTTTCAAGGGGTTGCAGCTCAAAAAGTATTTAAATAAATAAAAACTGGTGGTTTTTAAAGTCAGTCTGAAGTTACTGTCATAGTATCTTGGGTTTTGTTTTTGTTTTTGTTTTATTTTTCTAGATTTACATATATACAAAGCTAGGGAATGTAAAGAATATAATATATATTTTAATATATAATAAAGTATACGTTATATTCTTTTTCTAGCTTTATATGTGTACATATATGTGTTACATATTTATATATGAACGTATATAAAGCTAGGAAAAGAATATAATATATATTTAAGTGTATATAAAAATATATATGAAATAATATAATGAAATAATATACATACATAATAATAAATATATATATTTATTCATACATATATATGTGGTTGTCTGCATTAATTCCCCTTAAAAACCAAAATTTTCCAAACTATTTCTGCCAGAGTCAATATCCTTTTCATTCACAGCAAGTTCTAAATTGAAGACTTACAAATTAAAACTCAAACATTTTTTTACCAAATAACTTCACAAACATGTTAAACAGGAAAAGGAAGTTAGAGTTAGGAATTGCGAGGCTATAAGAATATTTCTTTCCTAAAGGATTGGATACGACTGCCAACAATTCCGCGGTTTTAGCTGCTTTCAAAAAAAAGGAATGTGATAATAGCTCCTGGGTGGAATAATTTTGGCTGGACTTGATTAAATCTAAGCTTAAAACTTACAGAGAACAGCTTGGACTGCATTTTTTTTTTTTAAGAAACAGCATTGCATTTCATTTGACTGTGTCTTTGTCAGATTTGGGGCCTTTGGGGAGTCTGGCACTAGATTAGACACTAACAAAGCGAGCTGGAGTACCCTGGGTAATATGAGTTACATAACTCCAATCAACACTGATGAGTGTGTGTCTATCTAAAACCCTGCACGTGTAATTTTGGAAAGGAGTTCTAAATGATTTTAAGGCCCCTTCCTTTCACAAAGGGCTATCTTATTCAGCTCCCAGAAAGTAATCATTCCAAAAAGTACTGGGCACACCCAGCTGGTATTTTTGTTTGTATTCTATTGTCTTTTTCTTTTGGTAAATAAATCATCTTACATTCCCTAGAAAAGCATCTACATTTTGCATCCAATATCTTAAACTTTGTTCTTGACATTTTTCTGGTGACTTCAGGACACATGATTTTAACACCACTGGTGAGAATTTTAGAATACTTGAAAAAAATCAACTATATATTAAAGAACTCCTCAACTCTTTGTTTTCCAAATTCTAATACAAATAATATTCAATATGGAGTATTGTTCTATGAGTTTCTGGGTCCAGGACAAGACGGATTTCTCCCTACTCCTTCTGCTAAGTACGGCTAGAATCTCTGGATATTATATATTAAATACACATAAAAAGACTCTGAAAGGTAGAACAAAAAAAGCAGCCTGTCTATGCACTTCATGATTCAAGAAAGATGCAGTGATAAGTTTCTTGGGTTTTCTTTTTCTTCACATATTCCAGACTTGGAGCTGGAAGAGCCAGCAGCTTAGAAACACTGAACAGCCCAGAAACAAACAAACAAAATCTCTCAAGAAAAGCAAGCACTCTCTAGCCAAAAGACCTAGAAGAAGCAGCCTGAAAGGAGAGAAAAGAGAAAACTTTTTTAGACAATAACTACTCTACTCCAACCAAACATCGTGAAAAAAAAAAATGTGAACCCCGCCAAGCCCAATTAGCAAAGGCCAAAGGGTAAATGGGAAGCCTACACTTCCATCCGCATCCAGCTGTAATAAAGTATCACTCCCTCTGCCAAGCCTGTGTCAGACAAGAATAAGTAGGGAGCTGGGACTTTCAACCCTGCTTGACAGTAACAAAGCACTCTTCTCTCTACGTGGGTAGTTTCAGAGAAGGCTGAATGAAAAGCCTGGACTTTCACCAACAATACAGCATCTGTGGAGGCCACCTGGAGAACAGTAACAAGATGCCCTTCCCTGTCCCAGCCAGTGTGGTGTCAGCAGAGGTCTAGCAAGAAGACTGAACTCCCATCTCTATCCAGCAGTAACAAGGCCGCCTCTCCATCCTGGATGTCAACAAATGCCAGATGAGGAACCTGGACTCCAACTCCAATATGGCAGTAACAAGGTGGCACTACTCTTGCCCTACCTGTGTGGTTTCATAGGAAGCCTACTGAAAATACAAGATTTAAATAGGATCCAGAGTAGCCTCATAACAAAATACCTAATATGTGCTGGATATAACTGAAAACTCACTCATCATACCAAGAACCAGGAAAATCTCAACTTGAATGGGAAAAGATAATCAATAGTCACTGACACTGAGATGATACAAATGTTGGAATTATCTGACAAGAATTTTTAAACAGCCATCACAAAAATGGCTCAGAACCCACTTGAAACAAATGAAAAATACAAATGAAATAAAGCAAGTCTCAGCAAAGAAATAGAAGATATAAAGGAGAACAAAATGGGAATTTTAGATCTGAAAAATACAATAACAAAAATGTTTAAACTCACCAGATGGACTGAACAGTAGAATGGAGAAGACAGATAAAAGAATGAGATAGAGCAATAGAAATGACCAATTTACCAATCCAAACAACAGAGAGAAAATAGACTGAGAAAAAGATGAAGAGAATTTAAGAATTTGTGGGACTATAACAAAAAGATCTAACATTCACGCAACTGTGGTCTGAGGAGAGGGAAAAAAGGGCAGAACTGAAAAGGCAGTTTTTAAACGTATGCCTAAAAATTTCCCACAGTTGGCAAAAGACATAAACCTACAGATTCAAGAATGTAAATAAACTGTAAACAGAATAAACACAAAGAAATGCATACCGTGACACAGAATGGTCACACTGAAAACTAAAGATAAAGAAGAAAGTCTTGAAAGCAATGAGAAGAAAAAACATCTTACCTATTTTGGGTGGTGAGTGGAAAGCAGTGGAAGAAACAATTTCATTGACAGCAAATGTATCATGAGAAACCATGGAGGCCAGAAGGAAATGGCACAGTATTTGTCAAATGTTGAAAGAAAAAAACCCTTATCTAGTAAAAATATCCTTCAAGAATGAACAAGAAATCAAGATAGTCTCAGATAAAAGAAAAGTAAGAGAATTTATTGTTAGCAAACCTTCTCTAAAAGAATAGCTAAAAGAAGTTTTTGAAACAGAACAGAAATGATAAAAGTTATCTTGAACATCAAAAAGTAAGAACAAAAAAAGTAAAAATTGGAGTAAATACAATAGATGTTCCTTTACCTCTTGAGTTTTCCAAATTGTGTTTGATGGTTGAAGCAAAAGAAATGTTAACATCATTTGATTTGTTTCTTAATACTGGTAGAGGAGATATTTAAGACCATTACATGATAAATGGGGGTAAAAGGGCCTTTAAGGTTTCTGTACTTTATTTGAACAATTAAATGTCAATACAAGTAGACTACAATAGGGTGTGTGTGTGTATATATATATATTATATATATATATGTGTGTGTGTGTATGTGTGATATAACGCTCAGAGCAACCAAAACAAAAGAAAACAAAGACATACAATTAAAACACCACAGGTAAATTAAAATTGAATTATTTTTAAAAGTGTTTTAATAACTCACAAGAAGGCAAAAGAGAAAAACAGAGGAAACAAACAAAAAATAAAATGAAATAATTAACTGCTAACATAGCAATAATTTCATTAAATAAAAATAGTCTAAATTTACCAATTAAAGAGATTGGCAGAGTAGATTTTTTTAAAAAAATTAAAAGGAAAAACATGACCCAACTACATGTTGCCTACAACAAACTGCACACAACTTGGATGATACTCAAGAGCATTATGGTAAGTGAGAAAATCCCTTCTTGAAAGATCACATGATATATGATTCCATTCATATAACATTCTAAAAATGGCAAAATTATAAATACAGAGAACAGATTAGTGGTTGCCAGGGGTTAGGGATAATAGGGTTGGAAGGTGGAGTAACTATAAAGGGGTAGAATGAAAGAGATCTTTGTGGTGACAATTAGTTCTTTATTTTATTTTATTTATTTTATTTATTATTTTTTAAGTCCTCTCTCCATCTGAGCTGAGGGAGGCAGGAGGCGAAGGGCTAATTCCTTAATTGCAGTGATGGTTACACAAATCTACACATTATAAAATGGTATAGGTCTATACACACACATTGTACCAGTGTCAATTTTCTAGTTTTAACACATTTTTCCAATTTTTTATTGTGGTAAAATACACATAATACATAAAATAAAATACATGTAAGAATAAAAATCTTTTTTTTTTTTTTTGAGGCGGAGTCTGGCTCTGTCGCCCAGGCTGGAGTGCAGTAGCCAGATCTCAGCTCACTGCAAGCTCCGCCTCCCGGGTTTACACCATTCTCCCGCCTCAGCCTCCTGAGTAGCTGGGACTACAGGCGCCCGCCACTACGCCCGGCTAGTTTTTTTTGTATTTTTAGTAGAGACGGGGTTTCACCGTGTTAGCCAGGATGGTCTTGATC